ATTTTTCTTATATAATAATTATAACAATATAATAAGCTGGATGAATATTAAAACTCCAGGTATACTAAATTAAGAAACCAAAGAACACGTGTAAAATATGAGAGATACACCAACATTCGGCCACTTATAAAGCAAATGAAGCAAGTCACCACAATAAAACATTAATTTCTTTCCATATTAGGTGAAACATACATAAATATTCATCCATAGATATAATTTAAATTTTCCTCGAATTCTTACTCTACATAACTATTCAACATATCCTCATACTAACATATACTAATTGCTTAAAATTTAACTGAAATCTTCATTATAAAGTAAAAGAATTTTGTCTAGAAACCCATGCATATCACAACCATAGTATCACAACCATAGTTGATGTTAAAGGTCCCACTAACGTTGAAGAATTTAGTCCCTTTTCGATATCATAATATAATGATGGGTATCAGTTCTGAAGGCAATACTGCGATTAATACGTTAAATCTTTTTATATATTGAAAAATAAAATTATTCAACTTCATTTATTTCAGAGTCATGAACTTTGTAGACTGTTTTCAAATCATATAGGATCTACGACTAAATGTTTTTAGAATATTAACATCTATTGATATTAGGTATTTGTCTGTTGTAGCACGTTACTTTCTTTATTGCTGTGCCAAATATTTAAATTATGTCATTATCATCATCTAAAACATCTAGAATACTTATATTAATATTAGTTACTATATTGCATTTTATAAATCAGATAATTAACTGAGCTTAGGGATAGAGGCACTTCAAAAAACTTTCCCATTATTCTGTTTTATCATGCGATACGCGTTAGCTCAATAATGCATTCTAAAACTATCTTTCAGATTCAAGATTTACAACTTTATTATGATGTGGCAAAATCTTATTCTGTGATTCATTTTCTAATATCAAATAATTAATTTTTTTCTTATTTATATGTTCTTCTCTAAGACATGAAATAAGATTCATTTTGTTATTTTAATATAAAAAAAACTATATTGATTGTATTCACGCACTTATTATAAAAGCTAACTTTTATATTTCAGCTATTCTCGACATGTTTGAGGGACTTATCTCATTTTTAATCTACAAGGTCATGTTTTGATATTTAAGATGGTAAGAGAGTGAGTTATAATAGAAAAAAACTTTATTGAAAATATTTTTTATGTTGGATTTTATCTATAAAGTGATGTTCTAACAAGTTCCAATACCAAAAATCACAAATAACGGATTGATTTTAATCAATACTTAAACAATAAGATAGCAATAGCATAATAAGTATGTTTTCTTATCATTTTTAAAAACAATATGTTTTATTATAGTGTTAATTATGTAAAAACTACATTTTTTCATTAATTAAAAATTAAAAAACTTTATTTATCAAAACTTCAAAACCCTAATAATGTCTTAATAATGCTTTGCAGTTTATAAAAAGTATATTTCATTGTAATTTTTCCTATATTGTATAAATTTCAATTCTTGTTCTGGTTTCCATTTTTCTCAATCTCTTAGTTTTGTGTCATTCTGTTGTATATATTGGTACCTAACATTATTTACATACTTTCTTCAGTTATCAAAACCACAAGTATTTTTTTTTTCGTCTAAGAATACTAATTAATACCAACAAATTGTTTTATAAATTAATTTTCCAATTTTCTTCCTTCTCTTTCTAATTTCTGTCATAATTTTTCCCCAAACATATATTTGAATATTGCGAAACCCTTCTGGGAACCTCCTTAAAATAATAAGCATTTTAATTATAATTTTTATCTTCTTTTATCACGTACAATTTATTTTATTGCTCATTGTCTTATAATTTCGCTCCTCAACACAATGTTCCTTAAATTAATTAACTTCGAATGTCCTTTCGAATATCATTCATCTATAAAAATTAAAATTGTTTTTATAAGACTTAAATATTCCACTTCTCCATACGTATATTCTTGTACTTTAACACAGTAAAATTTTGCACGCACTCTTTTTTTCGTACATTTTTTCATGGTGCAACGTAGTCGTCCTTGGAAACAATCAATCTCCATTTAACTTAATAATTTAAAGTAAAAAAACAAGACGATAAAATACAACGAAAGCATAAAAAAGTGGAAAATCTTTCATCAAAGCAAAAGCACAACGACCCGCGCATTTCACAAAAACAAAAAAAAACAACACCAAGTCCAGAACAGAAAAAGTTGTTTACATCTTAAAAGGATAACGGCAAAAAAATGTTCGGCAAAAAAATTTTTTACTCGTTTGTTGTAAAAAATGAGAGCAGATGACTGTTGGAGTGTGTGAGAGAACGTACAGGTCTGAGAGCGTGAGAAAATATTTAAGAAAATGCAACAATCTTCTGTGGTGCGAGTTGAGGAAGTTAGAAAATGGTGTGAGAAAGAGAGCAAAAAATACGAGAAAATTTTAAAAATATTGTAAAAAAGGATATCCCTTTTTGTTACAATTTTTTTTTTGACTGTTGTTGGTTTTTTTTATTCTTTAATAACTTTAGCTGTGGTGGGGTTAGATGGAGAATGGTGGATAAAAGTGCAAAAAAGTGTGAATTATTTTGCTGGTCTTATTGAGACAGGAAATACACTACAAAGGACAATATACTGTGCTGTGTGCGCGAGAGTGTATTCAAGGACCTTAAAGTAAAATTATGGAAATTGACTTTAATTGTCTGAATATGGGAAATGACAATATGTGAGTAAAATTTTGCTGAAACGTTTGTTGTTAATATTGAAAAAATACATGTTTAAAAGTGAAAATTAGTCATTATTAAGAAAGTCGATTTTTCAGTTTATAAAAAATTAATAGCGGTTAATAAAGGTTTCGCTTGTAATATTAAAAATCTTAAAAATAATTTTGATATTCATATATTATAAAAATTTACTAAAAATTCTACTAAAATAGTTTAAATCATAATAAATATTATTACTTTAGAAGGACAAACCACAAATAATATAAACAAGAAAATTGCTAATTACGAATAAGCGATATTCCACAAACTATGGACTAGTAATGACCTAAAAGATTGATATACTGCTGTTCAACAGCGCCTGTTAGTTCGCCTACATAAAATAAACATCAGTTAAAACTATCAGCAAAAGCCAAATTTCTAAGAGTGTTGATGAATAGTAAGCTGAATTGGAAAGCCAGTGAGTTGAGCCGGAATAGCTTTCTACCCTTGCAAAAGAATGTTCGCAAAAAATATGGGACTTATCTCGATTTTACATATTGGAAGTATACGTCTATTGTGCGTCCAATACTTACATATAGTACTGTAATTTGGTGGCCAGATGTGAACAAAAACTAAAATATTCAATTGCAGAATACAGAGGACAACATATACCCATCGGGCACCGCAATTATCTAATTTGAATAGGATGGATTTAGTTTTTTTTTAAATCTTAAGGTTTCATGTGGGATATGTAGTCATAAAACGGCGAAAAATCCTTAATAATATGAGAAATCTCATAAGTTGAACCACAATTATGTGTATAAATTAGTTTATATATATCACCTGTTGAAATATCTGACAACAATCTTATTTCTGTTGTATTGGAGAGAAACGCCTTAATATAAATGGCAAAATTGAATCTGCTCTGGCAATTGCCTGAAGTGTTGAGCCATTAAATATTTGTTTCGGTTGTAAATCACTTCTGTATTAGAAACCGCTTTAGGGAACAACATATTTTATAATAATGCTTCAGTGAACAAAATGGATTGGCTTTGTAGTCATTGTCAGATTTTCAGCAGACTTATAGTCATTGATTTCTGTGTTTTAAATTTACTTTGCAGTTGATGCAGCATGTCATAGCAGTCTATCCAAATTGTGTGAGAGCGTAATGCTTTAATTGCTGCTTGACTGTGCAGATATGGATATATATTTGCATAGTATCTACACATTTTATAAACATTCCTAAAAATACTTAGTTGTCATACAAAATATGTTTTTTTTTTATTGTTGGACATTTCACAAATTTTTTTTTATTTTGTTTAACATTTTTTATGAAAACTCTACATTTAATTATTTTTCTCTTAACTGAACATAAAACTTTTTAAGCCTTTTTCTTTTCACTTTTCACTGCGCTTTCTCTACTTAATTTACTTAATTTGCACTTTTGTGGGAAAAATGATGAGCAAACAGCAAAAAAAGCGCCATCTATGGTACCTAACAAGTAAACAACAAAGTTTTCAATTAAAATTAAATCTTTTTTGCCCTTAGAATAAAACTTAAAAGTCCAACCTTGTCAACAACAGTTTTTTGAACAATTCTGTGAAAAATACTGAAAAACAGAAAAATTCCAACACCACAAATTTTATAAAGAAAATAAATTCAAGAAGTTTTCTTGCATAATTTACGACGTTTAAATGTCACAAATTGTGAACAAAACAAGTTTTTAATTAAATATTTCTATTGTGGTAATAAATAGTGTAAAAAGAGTACAACTCCTACAAAATGGTTATTAATTAGATGTTCCTATAATTGTTACGCAGGTGGATATATGAGTAAATTACGAGTTAGAGAGATGGAGATATAGGTCTCTTATTTTAATTTTCACTTTAACTAATAGATATTTTAGGGTGAGCATAAGAGTATAAGCAGATTTAAAGATTAGAAATAATGATAAGGGATTACTTTATTGATACTTCATTTGAAATCCGAGTAGCAACAAATATATATAATAAGACTGACTTACTTCTATTGGGGTTATGCACCTATAGCATCCTCTTTTTAAAAATCGTCATTTGTAATGAAACTACATGACTGGGTATCCATGAACAAACAAATTTTCATCACACTTTATTTTTATTAATTGATTACTTCACATCATCACAAATATATAAGTAGAAAACCATTTTATTATAGAAATTTTTGTCAGGTTTTTAAAAAAATACATCGATTTTTAAAGGACTTCGTAGATCTATAGCTACTTCTTTAAGTTTTACATATATGGTTTTGTAAAGAAAACAAAATTTTCAATTAAAATACTTACATCGACATTGCCATTCCACATATAATGCATACCCACAGCTGTGGGATCGTGATGTGTTTGTCCAGTCATATGTTCAGCCATAACAGCGCTCATCCAATGTACCAAACCTTGGGTTGGATTTTGACCCTGCACACCACCGATCGGCATTGTTGCTGCAACTGCTGCTGCAGCAGCTGAGGTTGGGCTTTGTTGAAGTAAACCGTGAGATTTATAGTTTGTGTCACCGTTACTATTACCAGATAATCTACTATCACTTATCGATAGATGTCGCTGAGATGTTGGTGAGTGCAGCGATAGATTTGTTGTGATTGAGGTTGTTTGTTTTGGAGATTTTACAGAATTGTCAAAATTTTGTTGCGTAGCTTCCAAACTATGATTTGTTACCGGAGGTGTTGGAGTACCTGGTGCAGATGATGGTAACACTGATAAATTAGTATTGTTGTTGTTTAGTTCTGTTGTTGTTGTGTTAGTTGGCAATGGCCAAACGTAATTTGTTGGTTTCTGAAATATAAAAATTATATTTATTAAGTTTTATATAAAATGTTGTTTATATTTTTATATTTTACTACTTAATGCCATTGTAAAAGACTCTTTTTAAGGAATCTTTTATAATTTCATTGTAATAATTTCAAAAACAAATTATAAAAAATTATTACTATAATTATTACTATATATTATATAAATTCATATAACAATGTGCCTAACATTAATAAATATTAACAAATATATCAAAAATTGTATAATATGTATTCCAATATTGTACACGATAGAGAATAATCTAAAGTGAAAAATTGTTTTATGAACAGATACTTTTTAAACTTAATAGAACAACTTTCTAACAATAAAATTGAAAAACATATTTTGTAGTATCAGTTATTCATTTCAAAAAACGTTAAAATATTCACATTTAATGCTAAATGTAATTAATTAATAATTATCACTTATTAATTAATTACGTGTATTCAACATTCTGTGTATCTTCGCTAGTAGTACCTAATTCTAGTGCCCTAATGCCCTAGTAAAGTTGCAATCAAGTCAAAATTAGTCAAGAAATGTAGATCTGAACCGATATTAGTAAGGAATTAATGCCTAATTTCACTGAGCTGAAGAAAAATTTAAGAAAATAAAACAACGGATTAAATGGTTAGGTAAGGAAAAGAAGTAAGGTAGATAAACCATTTTGTAAGATTGAGAGGATATTGATGACCAGCGAAAAATCTAAGTTACCACGGCCACAATTTTTAGAATAAAGTTTTAAAATAAGAAATTTTTAAATTTTCATACATAAAACCATTCTTTTATGTTTCTTTATTCCAAAATGGACTAAAACACCATTAGATTATGTAACAAACATTCTTAAAAAGTATTGTGTTTAATAACGGTATAACCACTGTATTAACTATATTATATATCAATATAAGATATAATAATTAATATAATAATATTAAATAAGATAGGCAGAGCATATAAATTTGACTTATAAAAAAGGCATCATATCATGCCTCAGAAATATGGTTGGAAAACCTTGCTTGAAACAATAGCAGACAAGGACCAGGACAGAGTTTTTTTGTAAATAATGATAACATAAATATATAATATAATATTAAATAAGATTGGCAGAACATATGAATTTGCCTCATAAAAAAGGCATCCTATTATGATAATAACGAAGAAAATAACGAAGATGTAAAAGAGTTAGAAATAGGGTTGGAGAACGCTTGCTTAAAACTATAGCAACCAAGGATCCGGATCAAGTTCTTTTCTAAATAAAGATGATATAAATATATACAATACATTTTTACAGAATATAATTAATATTCGTGTTAATAAAACCAACACAAGGAAAATTTATTTTCAATATATTTGGAGATAATTTTTGTTTGAATTCATTCACAAATCATATAAAATTTGGAATTTCTAAAAGTGATAATAATAATAACAAAATAATTTTTAATGATTATTTCAACTATAATAAATCAATCTTCAAATTAATTTTGTTAAAATTACTAATTTTAATGTAGTACATCAGCTTTATTGTAAGGATCTAATGGCCAAGCACTATTAAAAATTAAGAATTATTATACACCTGTGAATAAAATGGCAAGAAAGCATGCATTTGGAATTGATATTCAGAGGATGCAAAAAAAAAACAAATAAATCAAAATTGAGAGGTTATTCTTTATGGAAACTACATCAAAAAACAATCATTCCACCTGATTCAGAACATTTGATAATAGGTCTGTTCCACGAGCAACTCGTAGTAAAACTCTAGTAAAACGCAAGTAAAATTTACACGAACAACCTAATGAGACTAGAAATTTATTTAACAAGTGCACTTTATTTGTTACTAGAATTCATGTTTTTATAAATTCAGACATAACAAGGAACATAAATTTCAAGTGAACATATCTTTATAGTTTGCTTAGTCCTAACTCGTAACTACAAAATAAATATTTTATTCGTAAAACTATATTTAAACTATTATGGAAGTACATTATACAATTATCGGAAACCACATTAAAATTGAATGTAGAAATAAATCAATGTTTCTAAAAAAGATAACTGCAGCATAGTATCCAAAGTACTATGGTTTGTCACAAGCCAGCGCCTGTGCCAGGACTTATTCACATTGCAGCGGTAGCAAATTAAATTCATAAGTAATACTCAATTATAATATACTAAACTAAATTATTTTCACTAATATAGAACTAAATATAACGCTATACAAATATATTTACGTTCTGCTTAGAATGCTTACAATATATTTAATGAATAAAAATTATAATATTAAAAAACTTCAAAAGACTTAAAAGGATTATGTGCAATTGAATTAAACTCCCTATTTGGTATGCATATAATATAAATAAATTTATCATAACTCTAACTGGTCTGCTTATGTATTTCGCATAAGTGCGAAACATTTAGTTTTCCACTTACTACTTCAATGCCCAATATACAAATTAATACCTTCATTTGTTTACACCTTTTGACTTTCATAATATTGCTCATACGTCTAGCAACCCTCGAACTTCTACAAACACGCATTTATGTGCACTCACTCAAAAACGCATACATACTATACTTCTTCATCACTTGTGCATACATTTTAGTTTAATAAAGCATTAAATGCGAACAAAAGCTTAGACTAACATGATTACTGCCATTCGAATCACCGCCATCTTCCACAATAGCAGCCGCTGTCATTTCCGTTCGTGTGCGCTTCACAGTTTCCGCTACAGCAGCAACATGTGCTACAGCGGCAGCGGATGTGGAGAAAAGTAAATTACGCGCAAAATGTGGTGTTGAAGTTGGTGTTTGTGTTGGCATTGGCGTTGGTGTGTAAAGCCTTTGATGCACACTATGCGAATGTTCTTGCTCTTGCTCCATAGGCGGTGTTGAACTATGTGATTCCTGTTTGTATTGCAATTGCTGCTGTTGTTGTTGTTGTTGTTGTTGGAGTTGCTGTAGTTGCTGTTGTTGGTAACTGTGCTGATATTGCTGGAATACATTTTGCTTATGCGTCAGACTTAAGTGTTTCTGTTGTTCTTGGTGTTGTTTTTGCTTTTGCTGCAACACCGCACTTGCGAAGAGGCTTTTATAGAATTCAGCAGGCATGAAAATTGCTGTCGGTACTGGGGTTGTAGTTGGACTTGCTCTGTTGGGACTTGCATGAAATGAAGTTGCCTTACTTTCAACACCTGGAGAATTGTAAGCATTCTGTGTTGTTGGCGATATTTGTACTTGTTGCACTTGTTCTCCTGTCACTGCCGCAGCCGCTGCCGTACTGCTGAGACGTCTTTTCTTGACGGCGTGCATTGTTAATTCCACAGCAGTTGAATTTGAAGAGTTTGAGTTGCAAGGTGACATATTCATATTACAAAGCAAAATGTGTAGAATTAAAATAAAAATTTTCTTTGATTTTGAAAAATTTGTTTACAATTTTTCTGCTTTTTTATAAACAATAAAAAAATGTTAAATTAAAAAAAATGGTGTCGTTGCCATTTCCGTTTGTATTATGAAACGCTCAAAACCAACACTTTTACTTTCGTCGTATAGCAGTAGCAAGCACTTCGGACAGAATAAAGTAAAATAAACTTTTTAACAAAGTTTTTTATTTCTTATTTTAGTTTCTTTTATTTTTTGTTACTTTTTTTGTTTTGGTTTTATTATTTTTATTATTTTTTTGTTTTTTTGGTATGTTTTTGGTAGACTAACTTTTGCACACTTCCACTTCCGGTTGGTTTTGTTTCTTTGCTATTAGTTTTTTGTTAGTTGGTAGAAGAGGCGCAATTTTTGAACTAGTTTCATAAAAGTTTTTATTTATTTTTAATTTTTTTCCTTTATAAATACACAAACATATCTATGTAAATTTCTATAACTTTATTTGTTTTATTTGTTAGCCAATTTTTTATATAAAAAAAATTTAACTGCACTTTGCAGCCATCGCTTTCGGCGGTAACCTTGAACAATGTTTTCAGTAACTTTTTTCCTCGCATTTGCTTAGAATTTATTTCTATTTTTAAGGATTTTTAAAATTTTTGTTTATTGCCGCCACGTTTTGCTATGATTTATTTAGTTTTTAGCCATTTCAGTCATTTTGTGTGTGAACTGATGGCGGTGAATTTTTTGTGAGACGATATTTTCATTGCCGCATATCCTGGCCATTTTTCTGTCCACAATCATTGAACTCTCGATTGCTTTCATTGGTTTGATGCTTTAATTGTTGGACTGCTGTGGTTGTTGGAATTTTTATTTATTATCATTTTGAAGTTGTTTTGATTTTTAATTGTTTCAATTTTTAAGTTATTTTAATATTTAGTTATTATTATCTATTACTTCAGTTAGTTTTTGATCAGTTTGGATTTCCATTTATTTAAGTTTTTATTTTAAATATTTTTTTAGTATTTTTTAGTATTATTCATTTCAGTATTTCAAATTAGTATTCCACTAATTTATTATTAAAGTTGTTTTAAATTGAATATAATTTGTTATAATTGTTATAATTTTTAATGATTTTGATTATGCATTTATTTAAAATTTGCTTTAAATATTTTTTTACTTTTTAAATATTAACTTAATATTTTAGTTGTTTTAATTTGAATATAATTTGTGATAATTGTTGTAATTTAGGATAATTCCGATTATGTATTTACTTAAATTTGTGTTTTAAATATTTTTTTAGTATTTTAAATAATTATTTTGTAACTCAATATTAAATATTTTTTTTTATTTGTGATAATTTTTTATTTTTTCTCAACTTATAATTTTAGTCATTATAATTTGTTATAATTTTTGTAACTTTTAATCATTTTCATTTTACAATTATTAAATTTTTCGTTTTAAATATTTTTAAATATTTTCAGTATTTTAAATTATTATTTTGTGACACAATATTAAATATTCTTTTTGTAATGATTTCTTATTTTTACGTAACTTATAATATTAGTTGTTATAATTTTTTATTATTTTTGTAATTTTTAATCATTTATCATTTTACATTTAATTATTTTACAATTATTTAAATTTTTGTTTTAAATATGATCAGTATTTTAAATTATTATTTTGTGAATAAATATTAAATATTTTTTTTTGTAGTTTTTTATTCTTACCTAACTTATTATTTTAGATATTTTAATTTGAAAATAATCAAATTGTTATTATTTTTAACCATTTGATTTTGCATTTATTTAAATTTTTGTTTTAAATATTTTTTCAGTATTTTCAATAATTATATAGTAACTAGATGGTAAATAATTTTTTGTCTGTGATGGTTTTTTATTTTTAATTAACTTATAATATTAGTTGTTATAATTTGTTATAATTTTGTAATTTATAATTAAAATGATCAATTTAATTTTGCATTTATTTAAATTCTTGTTTTAATTTTTTTTTTAAATTTTTAAATATTTGTAGTAATTTAAATTAATATTTTGTGACTTAATATTACATAATTTTTTTGTTGGTATTTTTTTATTCTTACTTAACTTATTATTTTAGTTATTTTAATTTGAATATAATTATATATTTAAATTGTTATAATAATTTCTGTTTTAAAAATTTTTTAAATATTTTAAATTATTATTTTGTAACTCAATGATTAATATTTTTTTTGTGATAGCTCGTTATATTTTTAAAACTTGAAATTTTAGTTGTTTTCATTACAATATAATTTGATGCAGTTTTTATTATTTTGCACATTTTAATTTTGAATTTTTTTAAATTTTTTATTTAAAATATTTATTTATACTTAAAAATATTTTTTCATATTTTTAAATATTTTCTTAAATTTTTAAATATTTTTTTATATTTCCAAATATTTTTAGTTTTTTAAATTATTCCTTTGTCACTTAATATTAAATAATTGTTTTTTTAAAGTCATTTAACTTGTGCTTTTAGTTTTTTTAATTTATAAATAATGATATATTCAATTTGTTATAGTTATTGATGATTTTGGTTTTAAATTATTATTTTATAACTAAAAATTAAATAAATTTTTTTATGTTGATTATTTATTATTTGCAACTAAATATTAAATTTTTTACCTGTGGTATTTTTTCGTTCTTAATTAACCTATTATTTTAGTTCATGTGATTTGAATAAAATTTGTTATAATTTTTGATCATTTTGTTTTTGCATTTATTTTAATTTTTGTTATTAATAGTTTTTTTTTATTTAACACATTTTTTTATTATTAATTTATATTTAGTGAATTAATATTTAATAATTTTGTTACTTTTTATTATGGTTTTTCAATCTTTAAAGCTAGTTATATTTTAATTGTTTTAATTTGAAAATAACTTATGACCCTCAATTGTTGTTAATTAATGAAGTGTGTAATGTATTTGTATATTTTTTTAAATAATTAATATTACATTTAGAAAATAATTTGCACGTTTTAGGAACTTTAAGGTTTGAAATATTTTTTTATATATTTTTTTGTGGCACTTTTTAGGAACTTTCGTTTTCATTCGTTTATAAGATTTTTCTACATTTTTTCTGCTTTAGAGTTAGTTTTTATTTAATAGTTTTTATTACATTTAAATGCTCCATTTTCTACAATATAGTAATTTTTAAAAATTAACATAAATTATAAAAAAGTGACCTCGTAACTATTCTAATATTATTTTTAATAAAATTTTTCTCTAATTCTCTATATAAAATTATGTAAATAAATTTTATAAATGGCAGAAATTGATATTTTATTTGACATATTAGTTCATTTATTAAATTAGAAATAATTAAATCGAAACTTATAAATTAACTATGAACTTAAACAGGATATAAATCGAACCCTATAATGTAAATATCAACTTATTAGAATAATCATTCAGTGCATCAACTCAAATTCGCATTTATACATAAACAATATATAAAGAGCCACATATATTTTAATGATTTACTTTAATTAAGAATTTTATATCTTGTGACGAGAAATGAATTTTGCAAATAAAAGGCGGCAATACAGTGGAAATTTTCATATCCAAAAATTATTTATTTATATCCCATTATAATTCCAGTTTATTCAAGCAATAACAATATGTAGTAATTGTTATCGTAGCCTTCAGCATTTGTCAACATGATCTATAAAAATTGCGTTGGGATAAGCTCACCTGCATATCATACTATATATAGTCCAGTATCCGATAAGAACCTATATCATTTTAAAAACTTACATTTTATTTTCTTAGATCTAGTCTGAAGTTTAAGTTTTACGAAAACTGAGTCGTATCACATCAACTCACGTATTATAATAGTTTATTAAAACAATTATGTATCGCTTAAGTATCTCTGCTATCGGCGTTAGTCAACATAATGTGCAGAAGTTGTGATGGGATAGGCCCAGTTTCATGTCATTTTTAGTTCAATTTCCGTTATCTTGTTTACGTCCACTTTTGGTACCACAAAATGAATAATCTTATAAAAAAATTAAGATTAAAAGGAAAGTATTTAGTTAATAATAACTTTTTATAGCGTATATCAGGAACCAGCTACTTGTTCTTGTATGGATGAATCTGGTTTGCAATGCCAGTTAAACGATAATATAATAGACAACATAGGACATGTTCTATACTTATAATTTGAATAAGTTCGGTTAAGTGCGGTAGACATTTAAGCTATCATTAATAATAAAACTACCATATTAACTACAACACCATTAGTAACATAATTGTTACTATAATATTATGCCTGTGCAATGAGGAATGTCAGTGCAAAAATGTGAATAATATTTTCATTAATGTAGTTGGCGGTATCTTAAAGAAATAACATAATATAATATAACTTCAATTAATATAAATCAGGGAAAATATTATTAGATCTCATCATAATAAAACATAAAATAATAAAATACAAGAGCATTGAAATAAAAATAGACCTCTACAAAAATGAACTATCAAATCGTTGAACTTAACTTGTGTTCCCAAATAAAGCTGTAGTTTATAAGCTCGTTCTAATTTAAAAAAAAAAACATGGCAAAGTGCTTTGAAAAAGCACTTTAAATTTTAAGCGTAGTGAAAGTTTGGGCAGATTTGGTTACTTGTGGAAAAACACGATTAATTATCGTTTCTAATTCGACTGGCACGAGTTCTAATCCTGGCACTTGTAGGACAACAAATTATATACGGACCATGAACTTATTAAATAAAAATTCGAAAATTTCTTAAAACTACGGATGATGAGTACCGGGCAATATTCGAAGCAGCGTTGTATGGTCAATCAAATTTCAATAAATTAACTAACATTTTTGTTGTTGTTTCTTCATTACTGTACGAACCCTTTAAATAATTTCTTTCCGTGATAAGACGCGTCACATGCGATAAAAAAAATGAACATTAATAAAAAACAATTTTTGAATACCTAAAATAGAA